TATTTCTTGTTTTCTTTTGAGAAATAATCTTTCTCAGTTCTCAACTTTCGCATTTTCTTATTTTCATATCGTTTTTAAAAAAATTTTGTTGTTTTTTTTCTTTCTTATTTTCTATTTTTAGCAATTTGTAGGATTTTTTTTCCTTTTCTTGGGTTTTTTGAGCCTTTTGCAGCTCACTGTAGACTTGGGCAATGCGACTCGACTTGCCTAGGGGCAAGGGCAAGTTTCACTCCAAGATGTATTTCGCTTCACTAGTACAAACTAGGGACATAATCCTTTGCTACAAACTAAGAACATAGTCCTCTAGGCTCAAGCCTCATCTTGACCATATTGTCTCCCTCGGACAGAGTGGTTTTGTTATAATGTCATATCCTCAATGGTGTGCGTTGATTGCCCATGAGGTCCTTCACTCCTGTCATCTCTCAAGAACCCTAGGTCTCATCGTGAAACTAGATTGGACAAAGGCTTATGACCATGTGGACTATCCATCATTGACCAAGTTATTTCGTACATGGGTTTCGGTAGTCGTTGGAGGCGTTGGATTTACCGTTGCGTATCTCTTCCTCCTTCTCGATCCTTGTCAATAGCTCCCTTCGTGGGCACTTTCAGTCTTCTAGAGGCCGATGTCATGGAGGTCCTATCTCTGCTTTCCTCTTTGTTATAGTTGCTGGGGTCTTCGATAGATCCATCTCTACGCTTTATTGAAGGTCGCCTTAAGGGATTCTGCTCTTTCAAGAATCGCATTGAGGTCTACCACCTTCAATTCACCGACGATACCTTGGTCTTTTGTGATGCATCTGTTGATGATATAGATACTCTTTGGCTTTTCCTCCAACTTTTTGAGGTCTGCACTGAGACATCTGTTAGCATGGACAAATCCAAGCTCATGGCATGTTCCTCTTGAGACTCTCTTTGCTCTTGCATGTAGACTTGGTTGCTCCACAACCTCTTTGGCAACTAAATACCTGTGTCTCCGTCTTTTTATAGGCAAGCCTAGTAAATCTCCTTAGGACGTTATTTGAAATTTTTTACAGAAGACTTGATATGTGGCAAGGTTGTTTCCTTTTACTTGGGGGGCTCTAATTAAGGCAACTCTCCGCAACCTTCCCATTTACTGGATGTCTTCTTTTCTCATGGCCGTCAGTGTTCTCATGTCTTTGAGAGGATTATGAAAGCCTTTTTGTGGTCTACTGACAAGCGTAATCGAAAGATCCCTCTTGTTGCTTTGGATCAGGTGTATCCCCAAAGCATAAAGGTGGACCAGGTGTATCCCCAAAGCATAAAGGTGGGTTGGGCATCCATAATCGTCGTCTTTTGAACTTGGCTTTGCTTGGGAAATGGTGGTGGCGCTACGCCACTAATCCTGAGGCCCTTTGGAGATTGGTGGTTGAGGATAAATATGCTACTTGTTCCCCCTCATGGTCCGTCTAGACGATATGCAAGGACCATGATTTGGAATTGCTTGATCGTCTTTCTCTTGGGAAGAAGCAAAACATAATCAACTTGAATTCAGGACAACTATTCAAAATCTTAGTGAAACATTTGATTTGTTATCTCATGTCCGCTTTTCGTGAAGAAAAACCAATTGAAGTGGAGGGTTTCTTCAAACAACCAGGAGCTGAGGCAACTATTCAATTGAATGATATTGAGCATGTTCCTTGTCTCTTCTTGGGAAAATTGCGCTTAATTGCGCTTAATTTCATATGTTCCAATTCCACCAAGATCTCTTCGTTAGTTGGGGGAAGAATCAACACGAATTGGATTTTTGAGGAACGTATCGGATGAATTTGTGTTCTTGCTCCGCCAAAAAGGGTTGAGTTGGAGATTCCTAACTCTTCCTCTTCTAGCGTAATGAAAGAGAACCCTAATCTTCTTGCATAAAATAAGGTCTGCATTAGTGGAATTGGAATGATGAGCAATTGGAGTAGATTGAGATAGAAAAAACTATTTCTTTTTTATTTTTATTTTTATTGTAATTGTACAGAAATATATTCTTTCTATCGTAATATATTCTACAATATGGAATATGGATTAAAATCATTTTATATCACTATTAGATATGAATGTTCTATATTAGTGTAAGTACTTAGTGTGAGTAATGAAATAAATATTCAATTGTATATACAACAACATAATAGCATCTAAGAAATAGAAATAAGTAATAAACACAATAGCTGCTAGACAAAACAATACTGAAATAATATTCAATTAAAGAAACAATATTCTGTATTATTGTTCTTATATTTCTACTTTCTTTGATATTTGATTGTTTGATTTGAATTTTGATAAATAAAAATATAAATATTAAAATATATACTTGCTTTGATATTTGATTATTTGATTGGAATTTTGATAAATAAAAATATAAATATTAAAATATAAATAGATATTTTTGATTTGAAATAATCTAACTCATCTTTATATATATGTAGCCATAATATTATATATATACTGATTTAGTACTTCTTAGATGTTTGATGTTTCATATTCATATTACTTATATAACATATGCTACTATTTAGGTAGAATACCATCGCCTATTGAAATAAACTTCAAAAACAAGGGATACTGAGGAAGAAACAGATGTAGAAATATAAAGAACTTTCGAAACGAAGGGGACCGAACAGGAAAAAGAGGGATCAATTGACGAAGACCCTTCCCGTTTTTGTTGGAAAAAAAGGGGGATCGAGACAAAATAGATGAAAGAGGAGGAGTGAATGGAAAGACAAAACAAAGGATCACGTCAACGTCAAAGAAGCATTGTATAACAATAAGGTTGTATATTGGGATCAAGAAGATAATACTGCATATGAAGATGGGAATCAGGAAGATTGGGAGTTGAAAGTACTTAGACTTAAAGAAGAGAAAAAATTATTGTGGCATGAAAAACCCTTTGTTGCTTTTCTTTTTGACGGGTCACCTCTAGGTCCTCTGGCTTCTACAGAGCATCTCTACCTTCTGCCAACCCTTTTTTCCTCTTACCAGGTTTAAGGTTAACTGTGGTCATTCGGGTTCTTTTTGGTCCGACCTTTGGATTGGCCACTTTCCCCTAAAGGACAGATTGCCTAGGTTTTTTTTCTATCTCAAACTCTCATGTTGCTAGAGTGGCTCAATTTTTTGATTCCCCTAACCAGCTGTGCTGTGGAACCCTACGATCCTTAGATCTTTGAATGATACCGAAACTACGGACGTCTTAGGACTCCATAACCACTTGTTGAATTTCTACACGGGCACCACTATTGTGGACAAAGTAACTTGGTCGCCTTCTCATTTTTGTGCCTTTTCAGTTTCCCCCTCCTATGAGGTCCTTTTAGCCCATTCTGGCAATATCCCTACTCTCAACTGTGTAGATTTCTCCCTTGCCTCCTAGAGTCTAGGACTTCAGATGGCTCACCATTAGAAACCATAACCTGACTTTAGACCTCTTGCAAAAGTGAGATTTTTCTTTGGCCAACTGCTGCTGTCTTTGCTCTGAGGTTGTGGAATCCTAAGGCCATCTTTTTACTCATTGTCCTTTTGCTAAAGCTAGTTAGGGCTCTAATCTCGACCTCTTCAATTGATTTCATTGGTATGGTTGAATCCTCCTTTACCCGAAAGGACGTTTCCTCTAGAGAGCAACAGTTCTGGCAGTCTTATGGGACATTTGGAAGGAGAAATTCTAGGACGTTCAGGGCATCTACTGGCCAATCTCTTTTGTTTTGGAGCAAATATGCAACGCTACTGTATTTTGGGCTACTAACCACTAGCTTCTCAGGTGCATCTAGGACATACTTTTTTACCAATTGGAGCAATATTATCAACTACAGGACCTGCAAGGAATCTTTCTCCTCTCAGTGATAGCCCTCGCGCATGATTACATCAAACTTAACTTTGAGGGTTCATCCTTGGATTACCATGGACCCTGCGGCTTTGGGGATATCTTCAGAGATGCTGATGCTGATGCTGATGCTAATGTTCTTTTTTGTCCTTTAGTGGCTCACTTGGTTATGGAAATCCAACTCGTGCTAAGGCTCAGGAACTTTTAGAAGATCTCTCTAGATTTGGTCCTTCTGGGGGCCACAACCTATCGTGGAAGGTGACTGAAATGTCATTTTATGGGCTCAAAGGACAGCTGATCGTCCCTTGGTGACATTCACACATTTTTGATAGGATCTTCGACTTTTGCAGGTCTCTTGGAGTCAGCTTTCATCATATATGGATGGCAGCCAATACTTGGTAGATGCTCTAAGCTAGGGAGGGCGCTCTTGCTAGTGTTGTTCCATTGCTTCAGTGAAGCCGATGCCTCTTCTGTTTCTTCCATGGTGACTTTTGTGCTTAGGAATTTTTTTATTTTATATCTTTCACTTTCTCTCTTTCTCCGCTCTATCTTGTCTATACTTTCCTTTATCTTCCTCTCTCTCACTCTCTCTCTGTCCCCTTCTCTTTCTTCCCTCTCTTTGCCTCTGTCCTTCTTTCTCACTGTTTCTCTCTTACCCTCTATCTTTATCCTTTTTCTTTTTTACTGCTCTCTGATTCTCTTCTTCTCTCTCTTTCTTCTTCGCTCTCTACTCTCTCCTCTCTTCATTCTCTCTCTCTCTCTCTCTCTCTCTCTCTCGCCCCTTCAGCAGGGTCTTCTCTCTTTTTTCTTTCTCTAGGACTAACTCTCATCCACCCTTCTTGTCTCCCTCGCTAATGTTTTTTATTTTTGAGGGTGAGCACTTGGTATGTAGGTTGCCTTCCTGAGTGTGTTGAGCACCCAGCTTGTGGGTGGCCACGCATCTCATTTTTTGATCCCTTGGGTTCAAAGTTGGCCTGTGGGTGGCTGGACTCTCCTACTTCTTCTCTGTTTTTCATTTTGGGCTGCCTTTAACCTCACACCTTTGTGAGATTTTTTGTACTCTTCATATAAATATATATACATCGACAAACTGAATCCACCCCCCCCATAAAAAAAAAATTCAAAAGAAGGGGATACTAATATAGGCGAACATCACCACACCAAATGTTGATCTGGCAGCTTGTTCTCATCACTCCTTCAAAACTATCCTTGAGATATTTCCGTAGTTACAAGATATTGTGTCATCATCATCATCCGAGCCTTATCCCAGCTATTTGGGGTCGGCTACACGAATCCTGTTCCACCACTCTGTTCTATCAGGGGTCATCCTCAATCAGACTATAAGTCACCATATCTTTTCTCGCTATTTCCATTCATATCTTTTTGGGCTTTCTCGTTGCCCTTATAGAGCCTTTCACTTGAATCAAATTGCCCTTCCTAACAAGTGTTGTATTAGATCTATGCTGCACAATTACAATACGCAAAAAAAAATAAAAAATTTCTCCCCTTTTAACAATTACACGCATGTGTATACAATGACCAAATATCCTCTACATTGGCACCTATTCTTCAAATTTTCAGGGTGTGTCAGTGATCCACAATTTGCCTACATGGTCTTGGAATATAGATGTCATATTCTTTTTGTAGCTTTGTTGACCAAATCAAGAGCTTGCTTTTAAATATCCATTAAATAAAACAACAAACCACTGGCCTGGTTCGATTGAAAAGCGACGTTTCAGACAATTAGAATTGTACCATTATCACCATATAGAGGTATAGGATTGATGGCAAGTATATGAAAGTATATTATTGCCAAGTAATAGATAGCACTTCAATATTACTTAACTGCAAACTTCTAAAATGGGCCAATGTATCATTTTGATGGATAAAAAAGGATTTGTACAACCCATTAGCTACTTGTAGTTGGAGAAATCTGAAACCAGCATATCTAGAGCACTTAACTTGAGCTTCATTAAGTGTGTTGGCAATCTTGCTGTTCGTCTGATGAAGTTGAGCTATAAGATTTTTTTTTCTCTTTTTGATACTTCTCTATTTTGTTTTCTTTTCTTTTTTTGGGGGGGGAGGGCCCCTACCCTTGGTTGGAATTAAGCCTGGGAATTGTGCATGTTATGTTGAATATGAAGCAAGGAGTTTGTTGAATTAACTTCTGGTTTTCGTAAATCTATCTTGTCTTTTGTATCTACTGAGAAGACAGCCTATTCACAGTTTTGTATAGGGAATAATGACATGTAACCTGTAAATCTTCTTGACTACTAAAAAAATTGTAATCATAAAAAAAGTCCTTTTGTAAGCATGACGCTTCAGTTATTCCTATAGGCTAGTTGAGTTACTTTATCTTTCATGTGAAATTGCTCAGGAAGTTGAGATCTCATCATTGTAATACCATACATATCATCCATTGATATCACTAAACTGTCTGCGTGACTGGCATTAGCAGTACACCAACTGTTGTATATTGTATAAATATGAAATGTTGAGTTTGATCCTGTATTTTCTTATTAAGCATTAGAAAAATACTGATTGAAGTTTGAGAGAACCTCTGCTGAAGGCACTGTGAAGCTTTATTAAATAGAGTGCTCATCTATTTCTGTTGGTTAAGCTAAGTTACGTTATGCAAATGCCTTTCTTTTTTCTTTTTATCTTTTTCTCTGGCAATGAGTATGTATCTATGTGCAATCATTAAATATTACTCTGTAACCTCTCGTTTCCTTGTCTCACTAATACCCAACTCTAAGCTGAAGCCTAAGGGATGACTAGGACCTCTATCACTATCCTATTTTGTTGCTTCAAGAGTCAGTTTCACCATTGATAACTGTGCCTACCACCTGGCTATATTCTCGGTAACTATGATCTAAATCTTTCCGTATTTCTAAAAATTGCTATTACTACCTTTCATCGATACAAATTACTCCTTCCACAAATAAAGTTAAAATGCTTATCTCAAACTTAATGTTACTGGTGGCAGTATGGATTCAGCTATTGTCACATCTTAATTCATTGAATAAGAGAAGCCCAGCGGCACTGTGCTCTGTAGCCTATACCGATCAGAAATAGTTTCTCTTTGAGTTTGAGATGCATTACACTGACCTGTTACTGGATGCATGATGTATTTCAGAAGTCTGTTAAATTCTTTTTACCTTGTATTGAAAGGAATTTTTATTGATTGAAATCCAAAGTTATGTCGTGTAGGTATATGGTGGATCCTAAGGGTGCCGCGCCACTAACTCTCTCTATGCTTGAGGTAGCGCATTAGTTTTATTATTGATTATTATGGTTGAATGTTTACATACAGTATATCAATAGTTTTCATTCTTACATATTCATGGTATAATTGATAGGAAATGCTTCTCTCTCCGAAGTTGACATCTAGGGTTCGCGCCTTTGATTTAATTTTGAACCTTGGTGTTCATGCTCATTTGTTGGAGCCTATGTTAAGTGATATTCCATCTACGATTGAAGAAGAGGAATCATCACATGAACCAGAGTTTAGTGCTGATGAACAACTTGAATCATTGGGACAGAGATGTACAAGGCTTTCGGAGCAACAAAATATGCCCTCAGCTATCGAGAGCTTTGAATCTTGGCTTTTGAACATTTTACATGAAATATTACTTCTTCTTGTGCAGGTGTGCATCTTGATCTGTCATGTTTTGAGCATTGTAGATGCTACTGTGTTTCATTGGCTATCACGGTTGCTTTTAAATTTCACTATTTTCTAATGTAATCAATAATCTAGAGTATGGGTATCTTTTGGTATGTATTTTTGAATCATTTGCAGATAAAGTCCAACCTAAATGCTCTTCACTTTCTGCCATGAGTTGTGAGATTATTCCGTTCTTTATTTTTCAGTTGTCCTTGTTTGACATGTTCAGTGCGATAAAAATTGGTGGTTCTGTTTTCGTGACGATATTAACTATTATTAGCATTAGAATGTTATACCACTGGTGCTTACCTGACCAATATCTTATACATCCAGTGGCAGTTGAACGTTTACTAATTCTGCAGTGACATGTTGCGACTCTCATATATGTGAGAACCCTTGAGAGCCTTGGATACATACTTCTTTTGTTTAATTTGTGGCTTTTAGTGATTTTCAGTGAATTCTTGGACCAGTGCCAAAAATGTCGGTTTTGCTTACTAGTAAGAACTCGTGGAGGATGTATGGAAAATTTGAGTAGATTTTATTTTAGAGTCTGATCTTTTTGTGATATTGCGCCTTTAAAGAATTTTACAACTTATGTCCAAAGTACATTGTTATGATACTTCTATGAGAAAATTTTGGAGTGTTGGCTGCCCATGCATTTGATCTTTTTTTTTTTTTGAGAACGTACATTTGATCAAATTTTTATGCTTCATCCACTAACACTCCATGAATTTCTGTGTTGGTTTTGTTTCCCCTCTAATCATGTAGTTAGTATCCGTCTATTGTATTGAACTTGTCAATTTGTAATAGGCTTCTTTCCCTAATAAAACTGGCCCGGCTTCTGGTTAGCCTTTGCTTTTATATACTGTGTCCTAGCAATATCAGCTGGTATATAGTTTCTTTTTTGCAGCAATGTTTGTTCCATTTCTACAATTTTGTAATTGACTAACTTGACCTACTATGGTTATTCTAACTTCAGGGTTAGATGGGTTTTGGCATCTTCATTTTGATAGTTCTTGTTCCATGAATATAAGAAGGGAAATTTTTTGAAATGATTGCATAAGGATTAGGAAGGATCAGTTGCGGATGCACCCATGGTTCATAGGCAAGGTTTTCCCAATGAATGCTGCTTTTGGAATTGCCTAAAAAAGGTTTCATGGGCCTGGATTGGATAAAACCCTCAAGGGAAAGAAACGTTTTTTTGAGAAGGGAGGGTCTATGGCATTTGACTTTCTTTCTGGAGAGGATGCCACTAAATCTTTAGTTAACCATTTCTTCAAAAAAGTAAAATAAATAAATCAATCTTTATCGGACAAAAAAAAAAAGGATGTGGAATTGATGAAAGGAATAAAAAAAAGATCCACTTTATCTTTATTTCGACTAGGAAGCTGCTTTCCACTATCTCTAATAAGAAGACTAATAATTCAAAGATTCATCGTTCGTTGTCTCAAGCATATGTATTTTACAAATTATCGCAAAAACCAGGTATTAAGAAGTATCTCTTGGGATCTTTATTTCAATACTGCAGAGCGTATTCTATTAAAGATAGAATAAAGGACTATTTGGAAATAGAAGGAATATTTCATTCCGAATCAAAACATAAGAAACCAGGGGAAAGTTCTCTCTAAAATGTCTGGAAAAAGAGACCCATCTGCTGGCTGGTGTATATTCTGTTATTCTGGAACTAGTTCAGAACCTGCAGTTTATGTTGAAACTATTCAACATTGTGATCTCACTGGCTCGTTTTTGTGTTTGTGGTCAGGATGGACCAGCGAAAGCACCTTTCCATGCCAAACTGGTTGGACTAGTTTATTGGTTGTACTTCATGTACTGCTCATGTATTTTTCTTTTTGGGTTCTGTCTCTGAATTCTGAATCTTTAAGGAGATTGATTAGAAAAAAACGCTGATTGCATTTTGAGTCCTTGGAGAAAGAGAAGGTTAATTCTTCTCCTTTGTGCACCAGCTTAATTATTCACGTTGAGTTTGGGAACTGAATGGCATTTTATCTCAATGATCCTGGGTGCCATCGAGCCTATAGTTCGATAACATTTTCTATTCTGCTGTCTCAACTGTTACTGAGATCTAGAATCCATTATGTAGGTGATGTTTTATATAGGACTATGAATGACTAAACTTGTCTTGAGTGTATTTTCAAGTGGATATTTATTAGGGCTTATATGTGTACTTAATGTTACCAAAGCAACCTACTTTTTGGATTGTGATATTTTCATGCACTTGACATGCGAGTGATGCTGATGGATGATTTAATATGGACATCTTAGTTCATATGTTCTTGTACAGTTACTGAGATCTGGCAGTACAAATTGCTTGGGTGGTCTGGAGCTGGAAGATAAAATGAGAGAGCATACTTGAATATCATGATTGGCTGGGTCAAGGTTCCCTTGGTGTGAAACTTGTTTGATGATGCAGCCTTTTGCATATCTTTTGGCCTTTAGAAGCCTTTTGATACATTCTCATGACTTCCTTGAATGTTTTGCATTTTTTGTTAGCTTTGGCTTACTTTTTGGTCTCTCTCGTCATCTTATGTGTTTGCTCAATGAGGAATCTCTCAATACAATTGTAATATACTATTTTTGTTTTTGTAATTGTGTACACATTGAAGGATCTCTTAGCTCTATATGGTTTTATAGATTTGAATTTGTTTTTTATCAATAATACATATTTGTTGTTTTGTAGATTGAAGAGAAAGAAGAAGCTGTTTGGGCATCCGCGTTAAGTTGTTTACTATATATGGTTTGTGATAGAGGCAAAATTCTGAGAGGTAGATTGGAGGGTCTTGACATAAGAGTAAGCAGCCGTATCATGTAAATTTGATGGATATGTTTTATCCTCATGTGCAATATTGTATTGCATAATCTCCTTGTACTTTATTTATCTGCTTTTGGAAGATGAGGTGTTGAAAGAGGGTAAAGTTTTGCAATGGATTCTAAGAAGAAATGCATTGTATTATCCTCCGTATAACTAGATTTTGTATTCATCTTATCTTTGCCAATTTAATACGCTTGTCGGTTCTTGGAATGTATAGTTTAAGTGTCAGAAATTTAAGTATTTATATGGTGATCCATTCCATTGCTTGAGTATGCTAGGGGGTTGAGAGTTGCACTTTTTCTCTTGCTATTTCTCAGTAGCATTAAATTTTGGTACACAATGTTTTAAACTTTTAATTTCAGATTGGTTTTGGCTGAGGCCAATACCAAAAGTTGAATCTTAGGCGTAAACTTGGTCTAATTTTCTATAATCAATGTAAGTAGCCAAAGAAAGAAAAGGAGATTGGCTAGATTTAGACTTGATTTAACGTTTTGGTAGTATTGGGGTCATAGTTACTGGGACTGCCGACCAAGGTCTCAATCCGGCTCCAGGATCTCGCTTCAGTGCTTCCGATGGGGATCTCCATGGGATGTTGATCCCAACTTTTTGGGGATCCCTCCTTGTCACTAGAAGGGGCAAGAACAAGACTAGAAGTATTAATTTCAATTATATTCTCTCTCTTTCTCTCTCCAATTGTTTTGGATGTTGAGGAGTGTCAACATGTTTTGAATTGATTTTGAACTTTTCATTTTATACTTGAGACCACCTATTCCTTAAATAGTTGTGAGAGGTTGCAGCTCCCACTGATTTTTTGTGTCGTCTATCACTCGTATGCCTCTGCCTATGGCCTTCAATTCACCATTAAGTTCATCTCTGGTCCACACACTGATGAGTTAATAAATCAAGGCTGTAGGATCTTCCTTGAGGGGGAGCTCGCATCAATTTTGCAAACACCTTTTTGCTATGTTAATAAATTTCTTTGACAGGTGTATTATTTCATTATTTTATACTATAAATGTGTTTACCATTTTGTACATATGTTAATGAGGAAGCTATAAAGAAAATTAGTGTTAAAACCTATAAAAATAGTTTAATAATCATATCAAGGATAAACATAAATATTGCATATTATTACAAAAATAATGTAATATTATTACAATATGTCCTCTGTAATTCACACTTTTATTCTTAAATTTTTATTATAAAAAATATATATCCTAAAGATATAGGTATTTTTATGTATTATATTTAATCAGTCTTACTCTTACATATTAGTACAAACCTGTGAGTATGATATTGTTAACAAATATAAGTTAACAGCACATATGCGTATATTATGTATAAAATATCAATGTTATTTATCTACTCAATTTATGACATATCTTAGATAATAAATTTTTTTTTTGGAAGCTTATCTTAGATAATATTATTAACGATACCCATTTTTATTATGGATTTGATAATTTATTCTTCGAAAAATTAACTTGGTGAATTGTAAATTATATAGTCTTTCTTTTTTGTCTATTTATTCACAACTGTACTTGCATGTCACCTTAATGGATTTCTTTGGCCCCTCAAGTTGGTTAACTTGACATGTGTTGCTACTAGGACCAATGTCAGTTTCAACGCTAGCATATGCCTTACGCTTCCTATCTCCCTGGATATGGCATTGTCTCTACATTTTGCAAGTTGCCCATTTTTCTTCGACACAAATTGCCTATCTATACCCCCCAATCTCCCCTCCCCAGCATGCACACGCTTCAGAGTAAACCCTCCTTCACATGATCATTCCCTCTTATGGTTAATGGACGAACCACTCATTCCCCATCCTCTGGTTTGCATCCTCTGGTTTACCATCTTTCATGTTCGACGTACCATATTTGTTTTCATGGAGAATCCCTTGAAAGAGTCCTCTTCCTATTTGACTAGCATAGTTTTGCTGGTAATCGCTGCTACTTTTACAGCATTGTTTAGTTTCTTAAGGGTTGAGGTTTCGAAGAAATTATTACAAACCACTGCAATGGCACTGAGAGGTCTGCGTCACATTTCCTACTGTTAACGAAAATGCTAAGAGAATACTTCAAACCGTTTTAGTTATTTGCATATTATGCAAGTTTTTCATTTGGAAGACCTATTTTACTTGTTTTCTATCAGCATTTTCGTTACTCTAGTGGTTTGAAGCTCCTAGCGTTGCCTATCCTTTTTCTGATCAGTATCATGGTTAGGGGGAAGTACTTATTTTTCGATTATTGAATCAATTATCCAAATTGGCTATTAGTTATTGGCTATTGGTTTATTAATGAATGTGTCTTGAATTGACTTATGTTGGTTAGAATCAAACCTGTAATGCTATAGGACTGATGTTATCATCTGTAGAACTTTGATGTGTAGTTTACATTATTAACAGGTTATAAAAGTTCTTTTGGAGGTTAGCCGGGAGAGTTCTTGGGCAGAAGCACTCCATTGCAAACTCATTTGCATTTTTGTGAACATGTTCTATAAAGTGGCAAGTGGACCAGACAGTGTTGTTCTCAGTACCCCTGTATTTTCCATTGAACTGGTTGATCTGCTTGGAGGCATTGATTTAGTCTGCCTTGAGGTATTGTTTTATCATGTTATATATGAAATATGATATTGGTTTTGATAAACTTGTGATGCATGATACTTGCCTTAGATATTATTCAAAATGAGTTTTGCTAGCTTACATATTCTGTAAGACTTTTCGTAAGTTCTGCAATCATTTTGTCTTCGACTTTCATGTTGATATCTAAAACCTCGTTCCTTGATATCTAAAAACTTGTTCCTTTTGAGAATCTGGAAGTGCCATCCAGTTCTCTTTAGTTCTCTGACTGGAGCTTCACCCTTTTTGCTATCTTATTTATTTTCTGAAGCTGCTTTACTGTCTCGAGTGTCACTGTTTTCGCGATCTTATTTAATTTTCTAATAGCTGTTCCAGTGATTATGGGAATTCATAGGTTTATCACTTTTCTATTATTTCTTGTTGAAGTCTTGCATATCATCTCATAACTTAGTCATATGTGAACCGGAATCTGTTGAATTTCAGTTTGTTTTGTGACAACTTTTTAGGTACAGTTACATGGGAGAAAGCATCTAATTATGCGGCATATGTGGAGTAGTATGAACATTATGATAGTAGTTAGCTAAATCTGAAATTATCATGTAGATACTTGTATTTTTGGTTTAAGCTGTATCGAAGAACATTTTCAATGGATAAAAATGTTGGATTCTGGGTGATTGGCATCAAATCTCCATTTAGGCTTTAGGCATAAGTGTCTGAAATTTTCATTTAATATATTCAGATGTCAGAAAAAGGATTGTAAAAAATATAGTGAATTAAGAGAAGAAGACAGTTGTAGAAATCTAAGGCCTTTTTCGAAAATCGTATCTATCCTGCTATGTCATCTTTGATGTCACATTCCCTGATCCATTGTTATCAATATTATCTTGCAGGAGAATACTAATAATCCAATAAACTATAGAAACGACTTTTGCTTAAGGTCTATAATCATTTTTTTGCCACCATTTGTCTTTGACTTCAAGTTGATATCTAAAAACTTACTCCTTGTGAGAATCTGGAAGTGATATCCAGTTCTCTTTAGTTCTCTGTCTGGAGCTTTGCCCTTTTTGCTATCTTATTAATTTTCTGGAAGCTGCTTTGCTGTCTCGAGTGTCACCCTTTTCGCTATCTTATTTAATTTTCTGGAAGCCACTCCACTAATTATGGGAATTCATAGGTTCATCACTTCTTTCTTTCTTGTTGAAATGCTGCATACCATCTCATAAATTAGTCATATAAAATGTTAAAAACTGCGGATTCGGGTGCCTAGGCATTTTGGGTGCCTGGCTGCCTAGGCGCCCGCCCAGAGACAGGGTGCCCTCACCAAAATTGAACCTCCCCTGCCCCAAATAAAAAAAAACAGGGGAGTTGTTAGGGCATGGTTTTAAGTCTTTGGGAGTTTTTAGGGCAATTTTAGTGCCCCAAACTCCTCGTAAAATAGACAAAAATGTAATAGTACAATCACATAACAGATTTACAGATACAAGTCTCAAAGAGATTGTAACTTGTAAGATATTAAGATGCTTGAAATTCCAAATGTCATTGTAGGAAACTAGAAGTCTAGCCTAGAAACGGTACACAAAGTCAATGAGCAAAAATCAAAAAGCAAATACATCAAGTCATCAACCAAACATGTAAATATATCGTAAAAGAAAAAACACGGTAAAAGAACACATGATTCGCAACATAATATATTGTAGCAAAATAAAATCAAAACCCTCTTCCAAGCCGACGCCGAGGGTTTTTTTGACCCTCGCCGACGCCGAGGATTTTTTTAGCCCTTCGCAAGCTGTCACTGGGCGGTGCTTAGACTGTAGCACCTACGTGGTGCCTTACCTGCCTAGGTGGGCGCCTGGAGACAGGCCGCATAATTCCACCGCCCAGACAACGCCTAGTCGTTTTTTGAGATTTTTTTGCCTAGACGGCCACCTTGGCGGTCGGGCGGCCGAATTTTCGAACACTGGTCATATATGAAGCATAAGTTGTTGAATTTCAGTTTGTTTGGTGACAACTTTTAGGTACAGTTACAGGAGAGAGCATTTAATTATGCTGCATATGAACAGTATGATAGTAGTTAGCTAAATCTGAAATTATCATGTCGATACACTTATTTTTGATTTAAGCTGTATCAAAGAATATTTTCAATGGATAAAAATGTTGCATTCTGGGTGATTGACTTTAAAACTCAATGTAGGCTTTAGGCGTAAGCGTCTGAAATTTTCATTTAATATAGTCAGATGTCAAAAAAAGAATGTAAAAAATATAGCAAATTAGAAAAAAAAGACATCATAGAAATTTAATACCTTTTTCAAAAATCATATCTATTCTGCTATGTCATCTTTGGTATCACATTCCCTGCTCCATTATTATCAAAATTAGCTTGTAGGAGAATACTATAATCCAATAAACTATAGAAAAACCCTAGGCTATCAAGTCATCATCAACAATTGTTGAACTCATGGATGGTGATGGAAAGAGGGATCCACAAGAACAAGACATGATCCTGATGGTGGGTTCCCTAGTCTCTCTGTTGTTCATCTATGATGGAATGCAGTTAGCAATACTACAGCATGAATCTTTCCAAAACTTGAAGAATAGTCAAGCATGCTTAGGCTGTTTTGCTGTGGAACTTCCAAATGTAAAGCTTAGATTCTTACTCTTGCGGTGGAAATCAACATTCATGTCACTCTTGGAGGATGAATTCCTCGTGTTTCTCACCAAGGATTATGTTTTTCTATAATCAACTAGATTATGAGTATCTTAATTATTTTTGAAGGAAAGAGGGTAAGCTATGTCTCCATAGATTTCTTGGTACGTTGGGATAGTGGAATTGTATTTTACAAGGGTTAACCTTGAGGAAATGACATTGTAAAGGGGCAGCAGTGTGATCTGTAATTCTTTAGTTATGGAAAGCATACTTCAGTGTTGCCATCAATGGAGCAATGGATATTCCACCTTCAATTTCTTCAGCGCTCTTTTAAGGATGGCACACCAAACAACTTTTGATCATCCATTCAAAGTAAACCATCATTAGATCACATGATCCCTTGCTACTCTGAATGGATTTGGAAAGAGACTGATGCCAACATATGGAACAACGATAAGAAACACGCAGTCAAGTCATTAGATCACATGATCCCTTGCTACTCTGAATGGATTTGGGAAGAGACTGATGCCAGCATATGGAACAACGATAAGAAACACGCAGTCAAGCAATGGTGGCTTTCTTGAGGGCCTTCAGCTGATAGAAGTCTCTCTTTTATAGAGCTAATCGTCTCAAGGACTCCCTCTTGTTTCCATGTATAAAAGTCCTTCAGACTTTTCTATCACCATGTCCCAGAGGCTCATCGGCCATGTAAGGCGGAGGCTCATCGGCCACAGAAAGCGGTACATAGATAATGTTTTAGAAGCAGGAAAGTCCCACCACCCAGGATTATGGCCTGAGCATCCGTCATTCCTGGTTTCGACTTCACACTGGTTGAGATCTCCTGCTATGACATTGGTTCTCCTCTAAGTTCTTTATAAATACTCTTGAGAGGGCATGAAGTAGTGCCGATGTCTTGGCACAAGGAGGGGTTGATGATGTGGTCTTCAGGTTGAGGAGAAACTTTTCTTTTGATGTAATTGGTTTTTTTTGTATTAAATAAGGGAAAAATTACAGATCACACGTCACTGTTTATACAAAATTGTGAGAAGGCTGTGTCACTGGTCAGTGACAATGGGAGTAAAAGAGGGGGGAAGAGGCTGGGGGGGGGGAGAGAGAGAGATAGAGAGAGAGAGTGAAGGCAACAGGTGGGATTTACAGGTTACTATCAATGTTCCCCATGCAAAACTTTGGAGAACTGTGATCAAATGGGGTACAAAACCTGTGTGTGTGTGTGTGTGTGTGAGAGAGAGAGAGAGAGAGAGAGAGAGAGAGAGAGGAGGAGTATAGTACTACTAGTGTCGTCGTTCGTTCGTCTCTACTAGTAGTAGTACGTAGTAAGAATAATAGTAGTAGTATAGTAGTACGTGGTAGGTACTACGTTA